AACTACAGATACATTTAGGTGATTACAAACCGCTAAGAAGACTAATAGTTGCTAACTTCGCGACCGGACTGTATACCTCCGAAAGTAATACATTTTTTGGTTTAAAACCTCTTGCCATCAATCGGGCCTTATATTTTACATCTCCTTTCTCATTCCGCTTTTTTTTTTAACACTCATTTACAGTCAATAAGTTCACAGTTATTCGGTTTCTCTACTACAATCCAAGTATCATTTTCTTCTAAAGCTTCAATTTCAATCTTTATCGCCCTTTTCCTTTGATTCTCTGCTAGCCATTGCTTCATCGTATGTTTAAGGTTCGTTTTCTTCCGCTACAGACACATAACTCAATTCAAAATCTTCATATGCTGAAGGCTTCCTTAACCCTTAAATGCCCCGCGGGGTCCAGAGGCCCCAGACCTTTTTCAATTATATATTTCCAATCGTTCCCGCCAAAAATGGAGCTCATAGCTCCCTCTGATGATAGTTGAGTGTTTGAACTACTAGTGTGTACACTTAAGGCCTTCACACATAAAATCGTGTAAGAACGTAAAACGTAAGCCTAAGAAAATCGACCAATCCCAATCAAGTATTGCGCTGTCCGTAACTCCAGTAGGGGAAAATACTTGATTGGGATTGATCAATTTTCTTACGCGTACGTTTTACGTCCTTACGGTATATTATGTGTGAAGGCCTTTAGCAGTACTCAGTTTACTGTCAGCAGCTGTTTAGAGAGGTTCAAAGTAGGGGTGGGATCCGCAGTACCCCTGTTGGTTATTAACGTACTTCCTGTATCGGAGTGGTGAAAAATTTTTTGAGGTTAGTATGGTTGTGCACAGTGTTAATATAATTTTTTTTTCTATTATTACATTTATTTATACGTTTTTAAGATGGTGTATAGTTTGCGGAGTCGAAGCGTTAGAGAAACACTAATACGTAATGATGCGTATCAAGATCCGACTTTTCCACTTTTTAATCATATATTATACTTATTGTTAGTAATACATTTTCTGTAATTGAAAACATTTTTTAATCAAATTTATAAAAAATATGTATGCCTGCAGCGTTATTTATGATGATTATTTATGATGCTTTTGTATGAAAAAAATCACACTTTACATTGCAAAATAAATACCTTTTTTTAACAATTCAATATCGGTGTTTCTTTTTCCTTAAAATATACTATCTCAAGAGTACTCTGTTATTAAGTCAAAATATTAAAAATTACAGATTTACGATTTTTTTGTTTAATAAAAACTAATATTTCAACTTTTTTGGCAATCTTAATTTTTTATACTATGTTAAAATTGAAATTTGAACAATATTAGCATTTTATACTCTTCTCTAGACCTTGAACAACATTGAAAAAAATTGTCATAACTAAAGATAAAAAAATCAATGAGACATTTTTCATGCTGGGGTCTTTTAGACCCCTCATGACAGTTAAAAGATTCTTGAGAAGTGTGGCATTTAAGGGTTAATCTGTTTCTGTCTCCAAGTTATATCCTTGCGTTGATTCTTCATCTTCATTGCATGATTCGTAGTTGTCGTTGAAACTGTCTTCGACTGTTTTTTCTTTATCTTCATGTAGTTTAATTCCGCTTCTTGTTTTGATATTCCCTTTTTCAGCTTCTTCTTTTTCTTCAGTCAGGACATTTTTCGTTTCTCTCAATGTTTTACTTTCTTTCGGTAGAAATATTACATCTTTCAAAATGTTGACCTTCTTATTTTGAGAAAAGAAAACTCTATAACCTTATTCTCGTTATAAACCTATGAAAATTCCCTCTTTGCTCTTTGCGTCTAATTTCAGTCTTTTCTCCTTAGGTATGTGTGCCGCTACTTGATCCAAAGACTCTGAATATATCCATATCCATCTTCTTAGAATGCCATAACTCAAACGGAGATTTTGTATTTTCTGGACTTGAACCCGTTCTGTTTAAGATAAACACCGCCTTGTTTACTGCTTCAGCTCATAAAACTTTTGACATATTCTTGCTATGAAGCATCGTTCTTGCTGCTTCCACGATGGTTCTCATTTCACGTTCAGCACGTCCATTTTGTTTTGTTGTGGGGTGTATATCACAGATCGCTGGTGGAAAATGCCATTCTCTTCTAACAGTTGTTGTACATTGCTATTCACAAACTCGAGCCCGTTATCCGCGCCTAACACTTTTACTTTATTTCCAGTAGAATTTCAACCATTTTTATAGAAGTTGCACTTTTCTGTTTAACTTCTGATTTTATATGCTGGATAAAATAGACCTGTCTATAACTTGAATAATCATCCTTTAGTAATAAAAAATACCTTGCACCTCCTAAGGATGTTATTTCCATGTGTCCGCATACATCTCCATGAATCAGCTCACATGTCCTCGATGCTCTTGACTTACTCATTGGATACGTACTCCTAGCTGTGTTGTTTGCCTACTATACAATTCTTACACATCGGTTGAGACTCGTCTTCCTTAAACTTTACATTATTCCGCATTAGAACTTTTCGGATATGTTCAAAATTTTGATGCGTAAGTTTCAAATGCCAATCCGTTGACGACTCTATTGCTATTTGACAGTCTGCATTACTTTGAATTTCACGTTTCGATTTACAGTCGTTATCTTGACTTGACTTAAAGATCATTTTGTATAGCTTACCTTGACGTTTCGCGATAGCGTATACTTTTCCTATTTTATTTATAAGCTCACATTTTCAGTTATCTGAACAAACTTTATAACCTTTGTCCAGCGCACAGCCAAATGAAAACAAATTTATCTTTATAGTTCTGGCACATAATACATTAGATATTTGCGTCCTTATTATACACATTCATGTCCATTCCACGCCGATAATAATTTTACCGTGCCAACCCCGTTTATTTTCCATCGCCAAGTTCCATCGCCTATTCTTATCTTACGGTTATTATCTATAACCTCGCTGTATACAAGGTGTTTCTTAAAGACCGCGCACTAACTTTATAGCGTTATTCCTGATCAAAAATTGAGTCGAAAAGTTTCGAACCATTTTCTTCTATAATGCTTTACTAAGCTGTAATTATTGAGTAAAGTCAATCCAATCAGCGCCGACCGGGCGCACGTCAGTGAGCCATGCGCCTGGTAGTGTGCGTAAGCGCTCCGCCGCTACGTTCAACGCTACGCGGCGGCGGCGCGCGCGTCGCGTGGAATATTCTTACGCATCGGTAATAATAGAAATAATTTTTTCTTGCACTAAGAATTACATGTTACTTCTGCCAGAAGTACCTTCTTACAGAAAATTTCGGTGAACTCTCGCCAAGACATAAACCATCTTCAACACATGAAGATTTAAACAAATACAAAAAAATAAACTGTGTATTTTACAAAAATTATTTTCTAAACAATCCGTTTCGTCAGATATCTCTGCGTTAATTAAAATTAAATTTTGAAACATAGCACTTATTCAATCTTTCTACGAGATTCACCTAGTTACTCAGAAGTAATAAATTTTTTAAGAGAAATAACAATTAGATATTTAAATAATCTTATGCTTAAAAAAAAATACGTAAAGCGTATTAAAAAATAAAGAAAGATTTCTTCCTTTATGAGAAAACAATTTATCTTAAGTCAAGAATAACGCTTTTCAGATGTACAATTTTAAACTTAAGGTAAATGAGGGCAAAACGCCGATTTTATAGCGAATAATAAGTCGCTTATTTGCTGCAACAATGACAAAACTCAAAAATCGCTCTTTTTGAGTTATTCGTACAGGGAAAAAGGTTGTTACATGTACTATTCACAGTTAAATCGGTTTCACGAACTCGGCCTCGTCCTCTTTCGTTCTGGGGACACCAACCGATCAATACATAACTGACGAGCAGAGGCAAATATATCAGAATCCTCCGATCGGCAATCGAACTTTTTTGATCCTGGCCCGGCCTGCACATAGATAAAGGAATTGAGGAAAAGGAAGGAAGTAAGTCCCCGGAACAGGCGAAAGAGCCAACAAGGGAACAGCGCAATATAACGTATATTTCAATTTCAATTCAATCTTTTATTTTCTCCCCTTCCGGGGTTGAAAAGGCGTTTTATTGGGCAAACGTTCCCAAACCCTTACATATTATTCATATAAACATATACAACACTTTTCACATGGCGTTTTATAGGGACGTACCCAACCCTTTACATAAGTCCCTTAACCCATCTTATCACCTGGCCTTTTTACGACCTTACATATCCTGTTACCCATCCCACCCCTTCTAGAACCTTCCCTCTCTCTTCTTCCTTTGCTCCGCCTCGTCCTCGTCCGTGCTCATCAGCAGGTGGTCCTCCATCTTCTCCACGATCTCGTCCTCCGCCGACTTCCTGGTCCCCCCATTTTCTTCCTCTTTCCTTTTTTTTCTCTTTTCCCTCTCTTTTCCTTCTTTGATCCTATCTTCCACCAACTTATCTGCATCTATCTTTACCTTCATTCTACTTCCCTCCTTCCTTCTCGCTTCCAGTACTTTCCTGCTATCTCTTTCGCTTTCCATCTTTACGAGGAATGTTATCCAATCCCCTTTATGTCCTATCTGGTTCACCTCCTTTACCTCTACCCTCACCTTAAGCCCATCTGTAAAAAATTGCTTCATCTTATTCATATTCGAGCTACCTCCTCCCCATCTCTTCTTCTCGACCCTAATTATTACATTCTTCTTTCTTTTTTCATCGTCTCTCTCTTCTTCTTCTTCGTACTACCATTTTGCTTTACATACCCTACTATTTTCCTCCTCACTTTCGCTTCTTTTCCTTTTACCTGAACATTGTTCTAGTCTGTATACTTTCCTTTTTAGCTTCTCTATTTCCTCTTTCATTTCCCTTATCTCCTCCTTGTACTCCTTCATCACCTTCACCATTCGCTCTTCTGCAACCTTCTCTATCGCCTCTTTGTCGATTGCCACTGTTCCTTTGCAGATTAGCTTTCTCTCCATCTTTGCTCCTTCACCTCCTGCTTATCTGAAATCAAAAGACATTTACTTAATCTCTCTGCTTAGCTGTCATTGACTCGCTTGCCTTCTTTTCCTTTCTAATTCCGCCATCCACTTCTCTCCTTCACCCTTGCTGTCTAGTATTCTTTTGATTCTTTCGCTAATTCCTTCTTTTTCTTCTCTTTCTTTGTCTCTTGCGCACCATTCTAACACATGCTCCCATGATTCTGCCTCCGCGCCACATATCCTGCAGCTTGTTTTTTCTATTGTATCCCAGTATCTTCCGCTTCTCATCTCGTTACCTAATCTGAATCTCGCTATCCTAATCATAGATTGCTCTTTTCCTTTTCTCTCCAGGTATTCGGGCCTCCTGCTTTCTATTACCTCCTTGTACCATTTGTTGTATCTTGATTCTCTTATCCTTTCGTCCTTCTCTTGAATCTGAATGTCCCTGTCTCTTTCCGTTAATTCCTCAATGCTACTCCACCCCTCCCCTCTTTTTCTCTCAATTTCCTTGACTGCATAACCTCTTCGCTCGTAAAAGCTCTTTCTTTCTTCTTCCCATTTTGACTTTTTTTTCCTATCCATTTCTCTTATTTCCCTCCAGCACTCTCTTGCAATCTCGTTTCCTTCTCCTCTCTCCAATTTTTCTTCATACTTCATCGCCCTTCTACCAGCGCTTATTCTTTCTTTGTCTCTTTTAGTTTCCTCTCTTATCATATATCCGGGCGTGCTCCAGTCCAGGCCTAACGTCCACCTTATATACCTTTCGTGCATTCTTTCTATTTTCTCTCTTTCTTTCCATCCCCATATTTCTGCTCCATATAAGGCTATGCTTGCAACCAGCGCATCATATAACTTGATCCTTCTTATCCAGTCTCCTCCAAATAACCTTTTTCCTATTCCCCATACCTGTCTCATTGCTATGGTCGCTTTTCTTACTCTCTCATTTATATGTGCATCTTGTTCTCCGTTCTTTTGGAATGTGTAGCCTAGATAGCAGAATTCCTTCACCTCTTCTATTTCTTCTTCCTTCCAACTCCACTTTACTTTCTTCATTTTACCTCCTCCCTTCCTAAATCTCATTACTTTTGTTTTCCCTACATTAACTCTCAGCTTCTTTCTGTCTAAGTATCTTTCTAGTCTTTTCAGCATTCTCTTCATTTCCTCTTCATCCTCTGCTACTGCAACTATGTCATCCGCGTACGCTAACGTCCAAAATTTTATTTTTCCTACAACTACTCCTCCATCTTGTCCTTTCCTCATTGTCTCTTCCATGTCTGCCAGCAGAAGTATGAAGATCATAGCGCTCAGCGGGCATCCTTGCCTAACTCCTTTGACCGTCCAGAAGCATTTTCCTTTTTCCCCTTTTACCCTTACCACACATCTTGTCTCCTCATATAGGTCTTCTATCCTCGTTCTCAATTTCTTACTGATTCCTTCTTTCTTCATGACTTCCCATATTTTTTTTCTGTCTACTGAATCGAATGCGGCTTTCAGAGCTATAAATGCTGCTACCAGTTTCCCTTTCCTCTTGCTTATAGCTTTCCCAATCACATAGTTCAGCGCGTATATATTCTCCATTGTTCCTTTCTTTTTTCTGAATCCTGTCTGTGTTTCTGGTAGCATCCCCTTCTCTTCTACCTCTCTCTCTAGCCTCTTCGCCAAAATTGCTGCATATATTTTGTAACTTGTATTCATTAGCGTCACCCCTCTGTAGTCCTGTGCTTCCTTTCCTTCTCCCTTTTTTACTATTGGCACTATTATTCCTTCTTTCCAATCTTCTGCTATCTCCCCCGTTCTCCATGCTTTGTCAGATACCTCCCATATTTTTTCTCTCAGTCTTTCGCCTCCATAGATCCAAACCTCGTTTGCTAGTCCATCCGTGCCTGCAGCTTTCTTTTCTTTCATTTCTTTAATTACTTCTTCCACTTCTTCTCTTCTTATTCCTTCCTGCTCTTCTTTATTCCCTATTCTTTCCTCTTTCCTCCTATCCTTTTCATACGACTTCGTCATAACTCCATCCAGTAGTTCGATGAAGTGTTTATTCCACTGCTCCTCCGTTATCTCTTCGCATACCTCTTTCCTGCTTTTCCTTTGTCTGTTTATAAATTTCCATACTTCCGTTTCATTATTTGCTTCTCTCGCTTCCTTCATTACTCTCTCCTTTTCTGATTCCTTTTTTTCTTTTACTTTCTCCTTATATTCCTTTTTCTTTGCTATGTACTTCTTTTTGTCTGTCTCTCCTCTTCTCCACCTCGCTAGGTTCTCACGTGCTTCCTCCCTTAGTTTTGCACATTCTTTATCCCACCATCCATTTTTTCTTTTTGCTTTCCCGTCCTCTCTTATTTCTTTCCACTCTGCGGCTCGCTTTGTCGCTTTCTTTATTTCCTCCAGTATTTCCTCTATGCTCGTACCTTCAATTTTCTCTTCTTTCATTCTCTCTTTGTACCTTTCTTTTCCTTCCCTCGACCAATTCATTATTTTTCTCACTCTTCTCTCCTCCTCTCCTCTTTCACTTTTTCCTTTTATCTTTATTGTTACGGGTTGATGATCCGAGTCTACCGTCTCTCCAATCTTCACTTCCACTGTTTTTTCCCATACCTCCTGGTTTCCGATTATATAGTCGATTACCGACTCTCCCCTTCCTCCTGTAAATGTGAACTCTCCCTCGTTGTCTCCTTTTGTTCCGTTCAATATTCCTAATCCTCCTTCCTCAATAAACCCCAACAGTTTCCTTCCTTCTGTGTTAATTTCTTTGTCTTTCGATTTTCTCTTTTCCCCCATTATCTCTGTTAGTCCACCTTCTTCCCCAGTTCTTGCGTTAAAGTCACCTCCTATTATTATTTGCTCCCCTAATCCTCCTTCGTTTGTGAATTCCTTTATATGCCTTATTTTCTTCTCAATATCGTTGTTCACATATACCGCTATAATTTTCCACGTTCCCTCCTTCGTCTTTGCTATTCTTTCTACAATTCCTTCTTCTTCTCTCTCTTCTGTTCCACCTGCCACCATTTCCTTCCTAACACCAGTTATTATTCCTCCTCTCGCTCTTCCTTTCTTTTTTTCTTTTGTCGCAGGTTGGCATTTCCATACGTATTTATCTGATAACATTCCTTTGATTTTGCGCCAATCTTTTTGTTCTACCCACGTTTCTAGCATCGCTATTATATCCCAGCTTTCCATCTCTTTCCAGAATTCTTCGTTTTTTCTCTTTAGTCCAGCTATGTTCCAAAAGCCTATGCTTATTGTACTCTCTTTTTCTTCATATTTCTTGCTCTTTTCCTTGTTCCCTCTCCATATTTCCTCTCCTCTCCCTCTGCTTCTTGTGTCTCTTCCCTCGCTTTCTCTTTTCTTTCTTTTACTACTTTCGAAACCCACTCTCTTCCTCCAATTTCCCCTTACTTTCGTTCCATTTCATCTCTTTATTATCTACCCACATCTTCTGGTATCCGATCGAGGTTTTCTTTCCTGCTTCTCTTTCTTCTTTTGCTACTTTTCTTATCTCTTTTTGTATCTGCCCTTCCAATCTAGTTAGATCGTCGTCCAGATAGCATTCATATTTTTTACCCAGTTCCTTTCTTTTTGTCATTATTTCTCTTTTGTCCTCCCAGCTCTTACATTTCATCACTGTCATTTTATTTCTTCCTTTTCCTATTTCATGTACTTGTTCGATGGTTATTTTCATTTCTGTTATTTCGCTTATCATCTTCTCTACTTTCTCTTTCTTTCCTGCCTCGCTTCCTATCGCTGCTCCTTTCACAACTATGTTATTTCTCCTCCTTCTTCTCTCCGCCATTTCCATATTTCTTTCCATCTCTTTCATTTTTTCCATCAAATATCTTCCTTCGCTCTTGTCTTCTATGTTCAATTCTGTTTTTTCTATTTTCTCCTCTACCTTTTTTATTCTTTCCTCCAGCGACTTTTTTTGCTGTTCCTAAATTTCCTCTTTCCTTTTAAATTTTTCTTTCAGCTCTCTTATTTCTTTTTTTATTTCTTCTTTATCTTTTCTTCTTTCTACTTCCTGTTCCTCTAGTTTCCTTAGAATTTCTTTAATCCCCTCTGCTGCCATGCTTTCTTCCTCTTCCTCTCCTTTCTTTATTTTATTTGGTGGTGATCTGTCAACTTTCCTTGTTTCGTTAAATTTCTCCAATATTTCTTTCTCTGCTTTGGCTATTTCCTCCTCTACTCCTTCTCTTTTCCTCTTCTGTATGTAATCTTTGATTGATCCTGTTCCTAAGCTGTCTGCTCTTCCTCTCAGTTTGGCCAGTCCTTCCGCTTTTGTTGGTCTTCCCTTCGTTTTCTTTCCTTCCTCTTCTTCTTTCTTTTCCTTGTCACCTCTTTGTCTACTTTCTACTATTCCTTCCTTTTCTGCCTCCATTCGCCACCTTTACTTACCGTATACTCGCCGTGGCTCCCTCTACGTTTACTCTTTCCGCCCTTTTCACTTATTTCTATCCGCTCCTTCCCTGTTGGTAATTTACCTCCTTCCTTCCCCAACAGGTGGCGCCCTGTCCGCCTCCTCCGCTTACGTACCTTCTCCTGCCGCCCTAACCTTCTCACCTGTTGACTTTTTACGTTCTATTAATTATTACCTTCCTGATTCCTACTTTGACTCACCGTATCTCTGCTTATTGCCCTGCTTCCGCTCTTTCCTATTTCCTACAACTCTCCTTTTTTCTCTCCACTATACCAATATAACGTATATAATCACACAGAAAGATGAGTACTCGACTGTGAATTTGAATCTTAATCGACATGTGTATTGTTAAATTGTAATACTTCGAACGCTATATGAAAATATTAGTTTGCTATTCCACGTTTCGGGCCATTTATAAACAGATTTAGTCGTATTTTCCTATTTTGAATATATACGGGTACATTTTAAATATGCGAGTTGACGGTTATTCTTAGCGTACACGATAACGAGCAAGATGTATGAGTGAGTGAATGTGTAAGCGAGTGTGGATGTATGTAAGCAAAATAAGACGAAAGTATTATTGTAGCGAGGCACCGGAATTTCAAGTAAAGACGCCGTTATAATAGAATTACGAGTTAGATTATCTGTTGTCCATTCTGCGGGATCTACATGCGAGTCGTGGATCGTGAGTCGTAGGAAATGGACCAATCACAATCGAATTTGAGAAGAATAATCGACTGTGATTGGTCAATTCTTACGACTCACGACTTTACGACTCGGATTGTAGACCTAGCATTCCTGTCGGGAAGCTGAGCCGTCGTGGTTTCGTCGGGCAAAAGTAAAGAACATCTTACAAGTTGAAATTCTTATAAGAAGATATAGATTGTTTCATATATAAGCAAGATCACTATAATCTTCTCATAATCTTCTTAAGAATTTCAACTATTTAAGGTAATTTTGCAGCAAATCTGACTAGTTTTAAATGATCCTGAGGCATGCCTAAATTATTTTCAAAAGTTTTATTTCAATTACGATCGAGGGTAGAAAGTAAACGGCTTAATATGGAGCGGCTTAATATGGCGAGGGTAGAAAGTAAACGGCTTAATATGGAGGGGAAAGATCCACTTATAATTGTTTATAACTTGGCTTCTAAGGCCCATTTAAAAAAACGGTTTTACAGGCATTCACTACATAATATTTCCTACAACTCCTCAAGTTTTATTAAAATCGGTAAAGAGCAGCACGTAGTGTCTTGATAGATCTTTTAAATCTATTTAGTCAAATAATTAATAACATTTAAAATTCTTTTTAATTCTTTTAGGCTGATAATATTTCTGTAAAAGAGATTTCTTGTGCTTGTATACCTTTCCATAATCGTTACATCGAACCTACTGTATCTAAATCCGAAGAATATTTGAACCGAATATTACCACAAAGAAAGTTTCGTAGCTCAAAGTGGCTAACAACATCTGTTCACGAGCATTCCAATATACTTCTACCTTTATGCTCAAAATATTATACAAATTATTTGTCATCCCCGGTATTATTTGCAAAGGCGATACAATCAATTCCGAAAGATACAGTGACGATTGAGATATCTCCTCAGAATATTTTTCAACATATTTTAAACAATTATTTATGCTCTACAGTAACAAATATAGCGTTATACGAACAAACTGAGGATCATAATAATGAGATATTTTTAGAATCAATTGGAAAACTTTATAA